AGATAGTAATTAAAAATATTCATAAGTTTCATGTTACATAAAATGAGTTTCGCACCTAATAACCATGGTGGTGCAACTTAACATCATTATAATGTTGGTAAAGACACTCACAAGAAACAAAAATACCATAAGTTTTGACATAAACATATGTCCTTTCTATTTAAACTAAACGCCTTAACATTATCCTACCATGACCGCCAATCGTGATTTGCATTTTCACGCTCCACCAATACAAATATCTCGTCCACAGGTGGGTAACAGATGCCGAAGTGCATTGTATCACCAACCTTCAAATTGGCTTCCTTGGCATAATTATACCAGTCACCCAAAAGGTACCTTTCCTCACTCCCTTTTCTCTTCTTCAAAAGGCAATGTTACAAGACTCCGTTGTCGCAATCTAAAAGCCGAATTGGTTTGTCCCCTCCCCGAAAACAATTGTTGAGTATGTTTCTGAGGATTTGCTGTTAATTAACAAATATTGTTAGAAGAATAAAACATGTAACTGATTTTATATAGTTTTATTACCAATGTTCCCAATTGAAAGCTATAAATACATATGAGTTTTGTACTTACAAGAGCATTGGAACGTATTGTCATGGGATCAGCCATAACCCGAGTCCAGCTTTGTTCCAAACTTTTTTCAGCAACAGGGGTATCTGTCCTGCAATATTTCAACAGAAACAATGAATTCTTTTAAAGGGTGTGAGTTCCCCGATTCCCTTTTTTATTTGGAACTAAAAATCAGGAAATGCATATTACTTATATCACTATTATAAACTGTTTCGCATATGCTAAGTGTATGTTTTCAGGTTCATCCGGAGGAAGTAAAGCCTAAATACTCACTATACAAAAGTGTTTTCATTATTGATGTAGCAGAAAAAACATGATACATTATTTCCTAACCCATTAACGATCAACAACATTATACATGACCATAAACAACCATTGTTAAACACATATACAGATACAGATAAGTTTGCATTTTAACAAATCAAATGACATGCACCATATAGATAATGACAGTTCAAACATTCACACTTACCTTGATGGTTTTTGGTCTGAGTTGGTTGCGGGTTTTCGAGAAGTCTCTGGCGGCCATGTTCGGATGATCTGAGGAGGAGAAGGAGGACTGTGTGGGGGAGGGTTAGGCTTGAAGGGGGCTTTGTTTTGTGTAGCTTGAGTGTGAATGATAGTACATGTATAAGTGGATTCAGTTTTGTTTTAATATTGATTAAATCTTGACCATTGATCTTATCATTTTATAAAATAATAACCAAAATTGTAATCTTTATTCAGTTTAAAAAGATATAATATAAACATATAATATAAAAAGATATCATTTGTATATATTAAGGAATAATTTATTACAAAAAAAGAGATGGAGAGTCAAATGGACCATTGGGCCGATAACAAAGAAGAATGGAAGTACAAAAGGAACATTCTATGTAATAGGGTTAAAATGGGTTTCCAGTGAGAAATACAGAAAAAGCGATTCTACTCAAAAGTACAAATTGCAGCTTATCATAACCCAGAGTAGTAGTAGAAAGAAAAGCTCGGTTCAGCTTTCGATTGAAGATGAAGAATGGTGGGAGAAAACGACATGCATGTGGGTAAGTCTGTAGCTACCGATGTTCAAGTATTGTTAATTTTGTTCATGGAATCCATAATGTGTTTCTTAGAAGTTATATAGGTTGTGAGTAATATCTATGCATGATGGAAATTGTTGCAGATCTGCGTCAGAGAATTTGTTGTCGATTCAACGCCAAAAGATCGGAAAAAAAGTATAACAAATATATTGAATCTTCACATAAATTTCTCCAACAAACTGGTATAAAGATGGATATCGTGAGTTTTAAAGAATATTGTTTTCTGTCTGGAATACGTCTTGATTCTCCATCAAAAAGGAAAGGTTCTGATGAACGCCAACTAGGAGGAAGCGAATGTAATGTTAAAGGGAAAGGAATTAATAACAGTTCAATAGGCGTGAAAGGGACAACAAACTGAGGGTAAGTTTTGTTTTTGGAATTCATATATTTAAAAAGGCATGGATGCTATTAAATATAGGTGTTTTTTTTGTTGTATAACTATTTTTGTACATATTATTGTTGTCATGATAATAATGTTGCAAAATGTTATGTATATATTATTGATGTACAATGCGATAATAAGGTTATACAAGTATGATTTATGTAGGTTTCTGGTTGGAAGTTCAGTAAGTGCAGAGTACTTAGTCCTCTGTGGCCTGTTTTGTTTTTGCAGGATTATAGAGAATACAAATATAATGGAACCCAATCATATTGTTATGTTATTTTTTATGATATCTGTTTGTTCGAAAAAATTTATTGTATTGAAAATGCGTAAATAATGTGGTATATGATGAAGTTTTCAAGTATCTTTAGAAGGCTAAAATGTATTGGATAAGATATATGGAAAAAAATAGAGTAACATTAGTATGAATATGTTTTTGGTGCTTGAATCAGGAAATTTACTCCAATATATGTTGAAGAAAATGAAGAAACATGGAGCAGAGTTGTATTTAATGCTAAGGTTATGAGGAGGAATGTGTTGGTAAGTAATAGAAGTTAATCGTTGCAGCGATGTATGTAATTTTTTCAGGGTTGAATGTCATCTAATTTAAGTAAATATTTTACAGCAACTATCACGTGAAGTGATTAAGAAGTGCCTCAGTGGACCGGTTAGCTCAATTGCCTTATATGATTCGGACAAGGATATCTCAGAAAATTGTGTAGTGAAAGTGAGGAATGATGATGAAGGCGAGAAGTATCTCACAACTTGTTGGTATGAATTTGCTAAACAAGAAAAATTAAAGAAAGGAGACATTTTGCATTTCTGCATTCGATATCCGCCAGCCGATGAAATACTGGTTTATGTTGAGCCGGGAAAAAAGAGACATTGAAACAAATTGTGTTGGATATGTAATGGGAAAGAAGGATTAGTTGTTTGTGTATTTTGTTTATGTTGACTTCATGTTTTTAAATTTGTAAGGTTTGAACATCTGGTATGCTTTAGGTCAAGTATTTAGTAAATGTTGGGTGTTATAATATATATAAATTTTAGTAATCAGTTTTTGATATGGTATACATACTATGCTAAAATATTTAGATAGTTTATGTTATAATACTAAAAGTAAAAACATGAGTTCAACAAGATGTTTTTGAGTGATATAGTATGATAGGGCCATGAGTCATAAAAAAAATAGTTTGAATTATTTGATACCTTACGAATTGACAACCCTCACAACGATCATACCAGTATCAGTAATACTGATATGATAGGCATCTGATTCCTATGAAACATAGAGTTTATAAAAAATTTGTTTTACTGCAATATTTTTGCATGGAGATGGTTAGCCATGTTGATAAAGAAATGTATAGCAAACAAAATGTCATTGCTAAACAGTCCAAAATTAAATGGTATATATTGAATTAACGATATATATTGAATTTGACTCAATCCATATAAATAATAAATCCAATAGCCGAATTAACCATATCCTAAAACACATTTTCTCAATCAAATTACGGGTCTGTTTCAGATTTTAAAAAATATATATTTTTTTATATTTTGAAAATAGATTTTACAAAATCGTTTTTTAAAATATTATAAATTTTTTTATATTATTTTTTTAAAATTAAAACATTAATTTTGACATCTTGTAATATAAACAAGTATTATTGAAAACTAAAACATAGTCAAAATTGTAATTTTTTCAAAAAAATAAAATATCTAAAATGATATTTTAAAAATAAATATTTAAACCATATTTTCATTTAAAACTTTTATAAAAAATTTCTTTATAAATTTTTTTATACAAAATTTTATAATATTATTAAAAATCATTTTTTTAAAAAGTCAAAACAAACAAATCTTATATAACACTATAAAAATCATTTTTAAAAAATCAAAACAAACGGACTTTAACTCAATATACTAACCATGTGTAACAAGAATAGGAATGACAACGGAGTGGAGCGAAGGCGGGTTTAAGCACACCTAGACCCGCATCTGGTACCCAGACCCGCTCTCGCCTCCGAACCCGGATAGAGTTAATATTTATTCCTCCGCCTCTGCCCCTAATAAGAAATGAGTTTTCCTACACCCGCTCTACACCCGTACAAATAAAATATTGATTTTTTTAAATTTATACTTTTCAATAAAAATAAAAATCAATAATTAAACTAAATAATTAATTATTTTTAAATTATTTTTTATGTTTGATGTTTTTATTTAAATTATATTTTCAAAAAAATAAATAATAATTCTAATAAACATGATATTATAACATTAAAAAAAACTATTAAAAATAAATTAAATAAATTAAATTTAGTTGGCGGGTGCGGGGCGGGTGCAGGACGGGTGTGAGGCGGGGTGCGGATATTAACATCACCCGTTCCTGCATCTGCATCCGTAAATAAAAATTGAATTTTCTCTACACCTGCACCCGTCCCCCAATTAAATTAGATTATCCTCGCTAATTTCAGAACAAGGGTGGCCAAGACTTAACGGATACAGATTTATTTACCATATTTAAACAAGAATAAGAAAATAGGTCCATAAATATTTTTTATTAGAAACATTTGAAAAAAGAAAAGAAAGGCCTCATTAAGTGACATCACTATCAACTAGTACTATTCAACTATAGGTTTTTAAATGTTCATGTTTATGATGATGTTGATGCAGTCAACGCCCATTGTACAACTCCCATTAAGTCTCACTCACCATACACATACATAAGTCATAACCATCCTCCTCACGTGCCGTTAACTCTCCGTTAATAGAAACACATAACACCGTTCCTTCCCACTTCACTACTATTACTATTAACTACAAACGCTCCCACTAAAACCAACACAGCAACAACATTACAATACACCACCAACTCTGACTCTTTTCCTTCATTCAAAACTCTTTAACAACTATATCAACAACACACATGAGATTAAGATTGAGATTGTGCATCTAAAAACAAGAAGAAGAAAATGAAGCTTTTTTACATGTTCTTGATGAATCTCCTATTGTTTATTACTCTCACACAATCAACATCATCATCATCATGCAACATTGAAAACCAGAATCTTATATCAAAGGCTTTCCAATCTGTCTCTGGATTCAACTCTTCATTCTTCCAAACAAAAGGCTCCTTCATCTGTTCAAACGGTGAGAATGAGATTAACATCATAAACCTTCCATCCAAAAACCTAACCGGAAACATCTCATGGAGATACCTTAAAAACATGACAACCTTAAAGTTTCTCGATCTCTCCGAAAATTGTCTACAAGGTCAAGTCCCAAACTGGTTCTGGAAAACCACTTCATCAAGTTTACAAACAGTGAATCTCTCCAACAACAGATTCGGTGGAAGCATTGCATTCCAAATGAAACCCTTTTCATCGTCACTACAAAATCTCAATCTCTCAAACAACAGATTCACAAACCAGGTTCATCTTTCATCTTTTCAAAACCTTAAAATCCTCGACCTTTCCAACAACAACCTCAACACTTTACCTTCGGGGATTCAAAACCTCACGAAACTCAACCACCTCGATCTCTCGAACTGTAACATCAAAGCAAACATAAAACCCATTTCTCATCTCACTTCACTCTCTTTCTTAAACCTCTCGAACAATACCTTAAACGGTACTTTCCCTTATGACTTTCCATCTCTCGACAACCTTAAATTCCTCAACATCTCAAACAACAACTTCAAATCTTCATCTCCATTATCAAAACTAATCAAAAGATTCGGAACATCATCGTTCATTCACGCAGGTAACAATTTCGATTCCAACAACAACCTCAACGCATCCAAAACACCAAACATTCATTCAAAACCAAATCCACCACACCACCATCAACAACAACAACAACAACTCCACGTGAAAAACACAAAACCTGTTCACAAAGAGAAACACAAACACAAGTCAAAATCAAAAACCATGATTATCATCGTAACAGTTTCCTCAGTTTCAACATCCATTCTTGTCATATTATCCATATTAGCAATCTTTGGTTACAGAAAAAAACGTCAACAAGCAAAAAAGAACAAATGGGCAATCTCAATATCAAAACCAGTGATTGGATCAACAACAACCCTCAAATCAGGACCGTTCGAATTCGAAACAGAATCCGGAACGTCATGGGTGGCTGATCTGAAAGAACCATCTTCTGCAGCAGTTGTAATGTTCGAGAAACCATTGATGAACATCACGTTCGTTGATCTCATGACTGCCACATCATACTTCGGAAAAGATTCACAGCTTGCTGAAGGTAGATGTGGGCCCGTTTACCGTGCGGTTTTACCTGGCGACATACACGTGGCAATCAAGGTTCTTGAAAATGCGAGAGACGTTGATCATGATGACTCTGTCGCAACTTTCCTTGACTTGTCTCAGCTTAAACATCCCAATCTTTTGCCTCTTTCCGGCTACTGTATTGCAGGTACTCTAATGGTTCCAAAATTCTGATTTTTTTTGTTCCAGTGTACTTTTGGATTAAGCTATTCTCATTTAATGGCTTTCACGGGTTTTAGTTTTGGTAATGTGAAAATATTTTCTCATCTAAATCTTGCACTGGTTTTGTTATGATTACGTTTGGAAATTTATGCAAGTACTTTTCAGTTTTCTGTTTTTTTATAGAGTAGTACTATTTGGAAATTTATACAATAAAAATAAAACAACATTATTAAAAAAAAGTAGTACTTCCTAAAGCAAACAATTAATTTGAAATTGAATGAGCATTGTGTATAAACATTTTGGAAAGTAGAAGTTTTATTTTGAGGATAAATGGTGTTACTAGTAGATTAACTACACAAGTTTTTCTACCTTATGTAGTAGGATAGACTATAGTATATAGTATTAAAAAGAAATAATACTAGCAGCAAACTAGTATGACCGGACTGCATAAACCCGCAAAAATAATGTGAAACGGGACAGTTTGATTTATTCTGAAAAGAAATGAGGGTGGAGTAACTTTTAAATTTGAAAATTGCAAAATTCTATGTTTATGCTCTAGGCTGAAAAACTTCCCAAAAAAAAACACAATAGAGTGGAATAGACATATTAAAAGATTTAGATCTGAAATTTTGATCTGCTCCAAAAAAAAAATACGAGTAAAATGTACATGTGGGGCGGGGCCTAAGATACTAGTAAAAGTTATGTTTCTTTCAACTTATATATTTTTGCACGTGTATTATTTTTGGGTAAAAGTTAATCATATGTAACGTTATGTTTCAAGCAATATAGATAAAAATGTAACTTGTACAAAAATAAAGAAACAAAATGTAACATGTAATGTTTGTTTCAAATGTACAAAGTAGCAGGGTTTTTTATATTTAGATGGTGCATGTAATAGGAGATTGTTATTGTTCTACATTGATTTAGGTGAAGTATTATTATTAAATTTTAATTTTAATTATTATGTAATTGAAATTTCAGGGAAGGAGAAGCTAGTTTTGTATGAGTTTATGTCAAACGGAGATTTAGGCCGGTGGCTACAAGAGTTACCGACGGGAGAGACTAATGTGGAAGATTGGAGCACTGACACATGGGAGATTCAAAATGGCGTCGGCTCGCGGACCCCTTCACCAGAGAAAATGGGGTGGCCGACGCGACATCGCATAGCGATAGGTGTAGCGCGTGGTTTAGCATTTCTCCACCATGCAGGGTCAAAGCCCGTCGTCCACGGGCATCTGGTGACATCGAACGTCCTCCTCGCCGATGACTTCGAGCCGCGAATAGCTGATTTTGGGTTCAGAAAATTCGGGCAACAATGTCCTCCAAATTGTAGTACTGAGACGGACGTGTATTGCTTTGGTGTGGTGCTTATGGAGCTTCTAACAGGGAAGCCTGGTACCGCGGAGACGGTTGTTTGGGTGAGGAAGCTTGTAAGAGAGGGTTATGGAGTGAGGGCGCTTGATGACAGGATCAAATTTGGTGGTGGTGACTCAGAGAGTCAAATGGTGGAGAGTCTCCGAGTTGCGTATCTTTGTACTGCTGAGTCGCCGGGGAAGAGGCCCACAATGCAGCAAGTTTTGGGGCTTCTCAAAGATATTCATCCTAGGGCTAGACTCGAATGAGTTAACTCACTATTAACTCAGTTTTTTATTTGTTCTAAATTTCGAGTCAAAGTACTCAATGACTCGCAATTGAGTTAGAGTGTAGGTTTGAATCTGCGGTAGGAATATTCAGAGTTTAGTTTTTATTAAAGTTATTCACTACCATTGTGCTGTGATAATCTCATCGCAAATTCAAACAAACATAAGTATCGTTGATTTTGTTTTGGACCATGTTTTTTGTTTTGGTTTTGTAAAACATTTATGATGATTATGATTGCAATGTATATAACTAAAAGTTTAGGAAAAATGTGGAAAAAATGAAGTGGGTGGGAACTAGGAAGCGAAAAGCATGGAAAGTGTTATGGGAGTGTTGTGTATTGTGAGCATGCAAAGAGTAGAGATTCCCACTTATTATTACATGTCTCTTCTAAGTGGGGCTTGCATCATTTTACTCACTTTCTTTTTCTTTCTTAAATATTTTTGTATTATTATGTTCTTTTTTTATCCTTTTGATTTTGTCTTACTATCTCTTTGTTTTCTGTTACATTTTTTTTTGGGTAGAATGTTTTATATTACTTTGCACTTTATTCTTATGAGTTAGTTTATTTTATCTTTGGTCAAGAATATTCTCCCAAAAGAAACAAAGAGATGGATACACCCATTATCTATGTACTTTGCTAGTCCATGTGCTGCAGGATTACTTGCTTGTTTCATTGAAACAAAAGAGGGTTATGGGGTTTGTGACTCTTTGAGTGTAGGTAAGTTTAATATTCTTGATTTGTCAAATATTGTAGCTAAATATTATAGTCAAGTGGGAGAGATTATTATAGTCAATAATTAGCTTTCAAGAGTTGCGTAGTTGTTTACCATGACTAAGAGGTCAAGTTTTAAAATGTTGTCAAACAATAATCATACACACATTATTATATGTTTTTTTGTGTATGTATGAACATGAGAAAATAATTGTTAAACCAACAACATAGAAAAGTCCATGAATGAATGTGAAAACATTATAATGCAATCAGTCGTTTTTAATCTCTTTAAATTTTTTTTTTTAAAAATGATTCTCTTAAAAATATATTTTAATTTTTTATCTCTCCTGATAAAATTGTAGTAAAAATGATCTCTAATTCAGTCGTTAAATAAAAATCGTCACTAAAACCGTCGCTAAATTGCAGGAGAGACAAAAATTTAAAATTTAATTTTTTAGAAGGATCCTTCTTCAAAGAAAAATTTTATAAGAACTAAAAACGAAATTTAAAATATTTAGAGGAATAAAGACTTATTTAACTCATTTTTATATATAGTTTTTTTGTTGAAATTTTTTATATATAATTGTATGGTACTTTAAGTAATTGAATACTTTTTTTTCTTTTATTCTGTACTCAACTCCAATTTGTGTTCATGTATAGTTTAGTATTCAACTATAAAGTACATCCATTCTCTCTTATGGAAGATTAAGACTCAAGATTCTTCATCTGATGTCAACAATCGTTATAGTGACTGCAACCCATCAAGAAACCCTTGAAGCTTTTTCTATCTCCATTCTTGAGTTGCATCTGCCTTTGTCTTAACACAATTTTTTACGGAAATCAAAAGCATTAGAAGTAACAATATAGTTGA